CCTATGCATAGCATAGCAAGTTAAATACACACAACAGTTCTGTATCCTTTAAGTATATTACCTGTTGTTTGGCAACCAAAAACATTAAAGTATATGGAATTTATTGTATTTTTTACTACTCCAGGTATATTTCATAATAGATACAACGATGGTCAATGTTAAAAATGCAACATATCCAATCAATTTGGAAATACAATGCAAAACAATAATAACATGTGAAATGATTCAATGTGAATTACTCCCACTGTACAATTTACCTGAAACCTTTTTTAACTCAACAAATAGCTAGATTATGATATTGACTCAGACAAAATAGCAGATATATATATATATATATATATATATATATATATATATATGAACAATTCCAGATAAAATCTATTACTTATTATTTGTCTTATCGTAAATCGCCGAACAAATCAAGAATCACAAGAGTAATGTCTCTTAGTGAACAATAATAAAATAGTCGATACCCATTATATATATAGTTAATAGTTTCTTAATACAGCCAAAGACTTTATAAAAATCAAGTAGAAATGAATATTTGTTTTGTCTTTGTTTGAAACTTTTTAACAATCAACAATCATAATCATATACGATATTAAACTCAGCATGATGATTTTGAATGGACGGATTTCAAAATCGTTGAACAAAGCGTTCTATTCAGCTAAGCTCCGTATTATTTTATCATGCCGGCCCACCATTCACGGATGTATTAAAGATAAACTTCCGCTTTGTGCCACATCAATGTGTATCTATAAATTTATATGCTCATATGGGCCAGGTTACATTGGCCACACAAAGCGATCTGTTTTTAAACGTATCCCAGAACACTTTCCGATATGTCTTTTAAAAGGAGAGTGCAAAACAATTACTAGTTATATACAGGAGCATTCAATCAACTGTGGACACATCGCTCCAGAAGAGTCTTCCTTTAATATAATCTACATAATCAAAATAACTGGATATAAGGGATGTCGGATCAAAAACTTACGGACGGTTGAAGCGTTGGGGATCTACTACCTCAAGCCAAAACCCTGCGTGTAAAAACAATGCTTCCAACCTCTCAACCTACCTTGGCCCTAATTCCGTTCTGTAGTATATTTTGTCCTTCGTTTTTTATTGTTTTATAATTTTAAACTGTAATTAGTTGTTATCATCCTTTAATAACTTTTCATGATTATTATTCAGTTATTACTATGACTTTTATGTTTTTCGCTCTTCTTCATATCTGTCAAGTGGACAATTATATTTCATGATTCTGACCAGTCAATTATTTTCATCATTCTATTCTCCTCTAATCCCCTGGTTATTGCACAACCTCATTCGATATTTAGAGTTTTGAATTACTTTATGGTGCAATCTTTTCTATCAATCTATAGACATATATTTACCACACAACTATAAATACGAATGTACAGCTTAAGTAAACGATTTTGTCGAAAAGAAAGTTTTTTTCGCTGAATTCTGTTTTTATTCAGGATGATACCTTTACAGTACTTACGTGGAAACCAATAGAGTACATTTCCAACATCAATCAATGTGGGATAAACTTCATTAATCATCATTCAATATCATAGGCTATTGACAAACCATTCTACCGTTTCTTATAACTTATACCATAAAACGTTCAATAACTTCTACGAAGTTAACTATTGACGAAATAAGTATCATAGTATTCGTCATGGATCGATCGCAGTTGGAACATCACAGAAAGTCAGAAAGAATTCAATCATCACTAGCAACTAGATAAGCATGACATTCGCCGCTACTCAATGAACAGTTTATGTAAACCAAAGAACGTTGAACTGTTGATTCGCATGAGATGCCGTAGTAGTAGTAGTAGTAGTAGTAGTAGTAGTAGTAGTAGTAGTAGTAGTAGTATACATGAAGAAACTAGGGATTGAACATCGGAACTTCTGGTAACATGACATTGTTATTTAATAGTACACATCCTTCGTTTAGGTCAATCTGCAATGTATCAAAAAGATTATCCACTGCCATTGATGACAGTGGTTAGGTATTCCTTAAGAGATATCTGTGGATGAATCTAAAACAGAATATCCTGAATATGCTGCAAGTTTCAGATTAATTGGACTAAGCAGTACTTTGTTAATTTATACTGCCTATGAGCCTGGCCCCATGGGAACAGATGGACTATTTTGCGTATACTGGATTAGTCAAATTTATTAACTTATCCTTCATGCCAAGACATATAAGCTGGTAATTTTAATAAGTTATAAAAAGATTTACTACATGAAACGTCTTTCAGATTGTGCCAGAATAGCAGTTCCTAAAAATCTCACGAAAACTAAACCCTTTAAAACAAAGCCTCATAAATAGTTTTCCCTCTGAAGTGCGTAATTAATCTATGAAGACTGTTTCTCCTTCTAGTTTTTCTTCAATAAATCTTAACGCTATTGTGTTTCAGAGTGACCAGTTTATTCCTTAAAGTTTTACATTAACGTGGGTGAAAAGAAGAAATGTGATTTTGTTTTCTGGTTATTGGAATCCAGCTGAGTAAGTTGTCAGCTGTCCATTGGATGTAGATGATCTATATACAGACAGATATTTGTTATATTCACTCATTTACAATGGTCAGTAAACCGTCAAGACATTTTAGTTTTGATTTACATTCTCGTTTCACGATGAACTAAGGTGATGAGTGACAGTTGGTAAAACGTCTGGGGATTTACTGAATATCAGGATTCTTATCATATATTAAGAACGGATCACTAGAGTACTTTTATATTAAAATCAACTGACTTTAATGTTTAGACTGCTTTTTTGATACCTTTCATAGACCCTTCCTTCTACGATTGCCAACTTTAATTACATTAGACAATTCCTTCTTGTTTAAGACATTCTGTAGAGAGTTCCTATAGTATGGAGTATGAATTGATACTCACTGAAGTATCATTGAAAACTAACTTGATAATGCTGTCTTTTTTCACATACATTTTAATGAAACACAATCATGGTCATTTCTTCATTATTCCCTTTCATTTCTTAACTATTTTACAGTTTACTGCCTACCAATTAATAGAAGATAAATAAATAAACAGACAAACAAACAGGCAACAATAATAATAAGACAATGACAACAAAAGCCAATTTTTTTAGTCATTTTGTCAATATTTTAGGAATCTTTTTCTTTTTGAACAAAAAATATACAATATAAACAATATCCGATCATAATACTGTAGATAATAGGAATGACGGACAGTGACATTCAATATGTGACTTCATTGTCTGCATAATTATCTTCGTGTGTTTGTACGTGGGTGTGTGTGTGTGTGTGTGCATAATCATGTACTGGTCGATTACGTTGACTTGTTTACTTCTCTACGATTTGTTTGTTTCTAAAACTGGAAAATTTAAAACTGAATCAAAGGAAATGAGTAAATAGTGAAGTTGAAACTAGTCGCTTGTTTTCTAAATTTAGTTATTCATTTGTTAAACCGGAGTAGATTTGTTTTTTTGTTTATCTCTTTTGAATTTGAATAAAAATAAAAAGGGGATAAAAAATAAATGAAACTGCTCCGCTTAAAAGAATAGAAAAGTAGAACAAATTTGTTTTTTTGTTGAGTTTAATGAGTTTGATCAACAATAAAAATTAACTGAACAACTCACTATTATTATTATTATTATTATTATTATTATTATTATTATTATTATTATTATTATTATTGAGGAACTGTTAACAAACGCAATATGATTGGTAATTATTAGTAGATCAATCTTGTTTTTTTAATTGTTACTTGGCCTTGTTTCTGCCAGTGCTTACATACAACATGCTTCATGTTTACATGTTTGTTTGTGTGTAAAAGAGTAATGACAGGCAAAACACTACAAGCTGAGATGCGTACTCTGTAGTTGAGCGAAATATTCAAAAATATAATTAGAACAATAGAGCTTTGAAAAAAAGATTCTTAGTAGTTTGACTGTGAGTCAAAGCTTAATGAGGGAACAATATAAGTGAGGCAAAGAGGAGATGTAAGATTGGGTACCTTCAAAACCATAGAAACGAGTTAGGAAGTTGGGAAAACCGGCGAAAATTTCAAATTACCCAAATAAGATGGTAAGAAGATCAAACAATTCAGATAAGAAAAACAGCATTCAAGCTAAAGATTTTCAAAGTAAAAGTTAATCACTTTTTGAATCATTTTCGGCTGATTAAAACATTTTATTATAGAATAGATCATATACGATAAGTCACAGTAGCTTTTCAGTCAAATCTCAGTCAGAGATTTTCAATGGGCTGTAAATTTGTTGCAATGGCCAAAATGTGTCCGGATTTTACGCTTTTAGTAAATCTGATTTTTAATCGTTACACACTAATCGATCACCTAGTAGTAACCAATGGGATTTCGTCTTATTCTTAGTGATGATTTTATATACCAAGTTTGTAATGTGTCCTGCCACTCTGAATTACTCAACATAGATCTTCAACTTATTTGAGGTCATTTGGTTGGAGTTAGATCACAGTAAGTTATATAGACTAATGAGATAAATATTTCGTCTACATCATTGACGATGCGATCATATTGGAGCTAGACAGAAGGGTACTAAAGTGACGAGCGAGGATTGTCGGCACTAAATCTCCTTTATTGTGCACACAGCCAAAAGCTACTTCATTCATTAATACACCCACGACGCTTTCATCCCCCTAACTCATATCAAAAAGATTTTCTAGTTTCCGTTTTGTGCATCTGATGCTATGCATCCATTCACGTGCTTGAATTAAAGCGTTGTCGGAATTGTCAATTAACTCCAGCAACCAAAGCAAAATAGTCTGCATTCATCGTTATTATGATACTGGTAAGACGGTGTTTTCCCTTATAATTAAAGTTGGTGTATAGTCAAATTAAACAGTTTTCTGGTCATTACTACAAGAGATGGCCATCATCACACGAATTCTAGCTTGGAACGCTGAAGGTCATGTGTATCAACATTTTACAATTAAAATCACGAATCGAATCAGGACTCGAACCCATGACCATCAGCCTTGCTCGTGAATGCTTGACCTTTAGACCGCTGAGCCAGGATCCAACGGTATCAATGTTTAATACTATGATCTCCACAAACCCACCAAATTGATATCTACATTTTGGCCTGCCTTAGTCTACATACCTGAGTACTTAGGTCAGCCTCTACAATCACTAATTATGCAAGATTGGATTTATGAACGCCACTATGAAGTTTCTAATAGAACTCATCTTTGATTACAGATAAGCCACAATCAGAAGAAACAATGGTAGATACGATGAAAAGTCAACGGAGTATATCTCTATACTTTTGAGTTCTTATTGTACCAGGCAATCCGTCATTTACAAACAACGTAGAACTCTCCAAATACGTCCATAGCCTCAAGTTGCTACATCATATCAACACAACGACATAAAAATATCAAGAGGAATACTAAAGAAAAATCCATAAATGGATGTCGGTTGTAATTTAGCCTACGAGTACAGGTTTTGCTTTCCGAATTAATACTATAGTAACAACAAAAGACTGCTGGAAGCTAATTCCAAAGCTCAAAAGATATAAAGGATGAGTCTCGCTGACTTTGTGCATCGGCTAGATGAAATCAAGTGGACGATCTGATTAGGTTTTGCATGAAATTCTCAAACACACCACATACGTCAATGGCTTGAGATCATAGTCTTGATTGCTGAAGACACAGATTAAGAAGACTGAAAACTCTACCTCAGGAGACTATGAATAACACTTTGTAGAATCGATGTGTTAAAACCGGTCTCGAATGACGGATGGGATGGACTGAAAAAAAAAGCCGATAAAAAATAGTTAAAAAATAACTGTAAACAGGGGAGGAATTCTGTCATGAATGAGATAATCACAAGTGGTTTCAGACTTGAAACTACCCAGTTACTCACATAGTGAGTGTTCTTCCCGTACAGAGACTTGAAAAGACTGTACTCATGGGATTTCTGTTCGAGGCCCATCACAACATTTTTCGAGCGTTTCTCGATTTGTTAACTCCTAACTTTTCGGACCTAGCTATAAACACAGGTGGTTTGTGGAGCAAAGGAGTGTGATTTTATATAATTTCGCCTTTTCAAACTGATCCTCGAATCTATGAGAAACCAGTATCACTAAAGAATCTGGCTATCCGTTGGAAAGATCTTACGACAGTCAGTACGGTCTTTAGTATACTGCGCACCCGGACCTAAAAACTGTTGATTTCTTAGAATGATCAATCCTTGATGTACAAGTACTCTATCCTTTATAGCTCTATTGGTGCATCACAACAGTGAAATCTAATCACGATATCAAGGTTAAGACAATAAACTAATAATTCAATCACCACCTTTTTGATGTTGATAAATAAAGGATTGACAAAATTATTTAGTAGATCAGTTCTACAATAGTCCTAAGTATTCTTAATATGAAAATGAACACGATGGCGGATTTTTTATATCAATAAGTGTACGAAGTTACAGGCTATAATGATTCAACAATATAGACGGAAACCTTTTAAATATTTTCCTAAAAAATCATTTATTTATTTGTGTTTTACAACAACAATTTTTTGAATATATGAAACTGTCAACATGGTATTTATTTTTCAGTAGGCTATTCCTTTCTTCTGTTGAAATAACTATGACACAATTTATCATAGTCATATCTTGAAGGTCAAAATAATAATAACTGGAATAAGAGTAATATATTTTCAATGACTTTAACAGTTGTCAAAAGTATATATAATGCTGTTAATAAAACAAGAATATATAACCTATTAACTGGTCTTTCAACTATGAAATATACTAAATCTCCACAAAAACCCCTTCTGATAATTAATATAACTTATTAGTTTATTTCCTTAAATCTAATTTTTTTTCACATAGTTATTAAGTTTACATGTATTTGTTTAAAACGAACACTGGCAAGAAATATGTGAGAAAACGAAAAGGGATATTTGCATTCTCGAGTAGATTGATAATTCATACATGAATAGAATAGTAACACAATCTAAAACGGAACTACTGAGCTATTCTTCTCACATATGACTTTTTATTTGATTGAGATGTTTGCAATAATTTAGGTTACGTTCATTAATTGTTAAAATCGTTCAAACCTTTTTCAAACATATAGGTCTTCCAATGTTGATGCCCATCCCAAGTCCAGATAAAGAAGGAGGGTTAGAAATGGGTTTGGCGATCCCATCCAGTAGAAAACAACCTTGCTAAATAAACACTAGCCAGAGAAAACCATTCAAACCATTTAAACTCTGCCGTCCGAGTTGAAGGATCTTCATTCAGAAGGACTATCAAACCTCATGGTAAAAGCCGAGATTCTTCAGAAGTTACGAGGCCGATGCCCTTTCTAACAACCAGGGCAACAACTAATATTGGTACATGGAGTTTCCGGTGAATTCAGGAGAATGGGAAAACTAGTCAAATAGCTGTGAAAATAAGGAGATAAAACCTGGAGGATCTCAGAATAAGTGAAACCCGTTCGACACAAGCTGGATAGAAAAGATTCGCTTGGGGAGGAGTGTTACTGTTCTTCGGTCATGAATTTAAACATCCTTTGCACACACAATGAGTTTTATTGATGATGTCCAAAGAAGCAAGAAGAACACTTATAAGGTGGGTATCCCACGGATCCAGAATCATCAAAGTATTTTTTCAAAACAAAGGAGAGGATCAGAACGAATGTTATCCAGTGCTATGCACCCACCAATGACATCAATGAAGACGATAAAAATCAGTTTTATGAAAGGATGAGGTCGATCGTAATGAAGTGTCCAGGAAAGGACCTTACCATTCTTATGGGAGATCTAAACGCCAAAGTTTGAATGTACAACACCAAATATGAAGATATCATGGGACTACATGGACAGACTGGGGGAAAGGAGCGAGAATGGTGACAGATTTGCAAATTTATGTATCTTCAGAAAAGTGGTTATAAGTGGCACAATATTTCCCCACAAACGCATACACAATGCTACATGGGTCTCATCGGACTACACTACAGAGAATCTGATCAATTACATTTGCATCAATAAAATATCCAGAAAATCCATGGAGGACGTGAGAACGAAGAGAGGAACTGACATAGCTTCAGATCACCACCTGTTGGTTGCCAAGATGAAACTGAAGCTAAAGAAGTAATGGACAACTGCACAAACAACATTACAAAGGTTCAATATAGCCTTTCTTCGACATACTGACAGGCTCAGCTAATTCAGGATATCTCTCAACAGCAGGTTACGAGGCGTACAAGATCCACTCAAAGAAGAGGAAACTGTTGTGGAGGACAACTAGAAAGAAAGTAAGAAAGCCTTGAATTCAACATGCTATGAAGTTCTGGGTCTCGAGAAGCATCAACATAAGGAATAAATCTCTATGGAAACCCTGGACAAGATTCAAGATAGGGAGAACAAGACAGCAATTAACAACAGTCTAACAAGAGCAGAGAGAGTCAAGGAACAAGCAGACTACGCAGAAGCAAACAAGGAAGTGAAGAAAAGCATTAAGGTCGACAAGCAGAAATACATGTGAAAACTAGAAACAACGGCGGAAAAACCTGCCAGAGAAGGGAATATGAGACAACTATATGATACAACGAAGAAATTGGCAGGGAGATATAGCAAACCAGAGAGATTAGTCAAGGTCAAAGAATGTAAATCAACCACTGAGATTCAAGAACAGCAGATTAGGTGGGTAGAGCACCTTGAGGAACTCTTGATTAGGTCAGCTCAATCGAACCCACTGGATATCGAAGCAACACACACAAACCTTCCTGTAGATGTCACTCCACCAAAGACCGGAGAAATCAGGATGGACATCAGACAAATCAAGAATGGGAAAGCAGCACGACCTGACAATATACCAGCTGAAGCACTGAAGTCAGACAGTGAAGTAACTGCAAACGTGCTTCACCTTCTATTCAAGAATATTTGGGAGGAGGAACAAGTGCCAACGGACTGGAAAGAAGGATACCTCATCAAGATACCAAAAAAGGAGATCTGAGCAAATGTGAGAATTACAGAGGCATCACACTGTTGTCAGTACCAGGAAAGATATTCAACAGAGTGTTGCTGAACCGGATGAAAGACGCAGTAGACGCACAACTTCCGAATCAACAGGCTGGATTCGGTAAGGATCGCTCGTGCACAGACCAAATTGCCACACTACGGATCATCGTTGAACAATCAGTTGAGTGGAACTCGTCACTAATATATCAACTTCATTGATTATGAGAAAGCGTTTGACAGTGTAGACAGAAGGACCTTATGGAAACTTCTTCGACACTATGATGTGCCTGAGGAAATCGCTAACATCATACTGAATTCCTGCAACGGACTATACTGCTAAGCCGTGTATGGAGGCCATCGGACAGATGCACTCCAAGTGAGAGCCGGACTCAGACAAGGCTACTTACTCTCCCTCTTTCTCTTTCTTTTGATGGTTGACTGGATTATGAAGACCTCCACGTCCGAGGGAAATTACGGAATACAATGGACAGGTTGGATGCAACTAAACGATTTGGACTTCACGGATGACCTGACCTTTCTATCACACGCAGACCAACAAATGCAGGTCAAGACAGCCAGTATGACAGCAGCTTCTGAAACGGTACACCTTATCATACACAAGGGAAAATACAACACGGAGAATGCCAACTCAATCACACTTTATAGAGAAACTCTGGAAGAGGTGGAAAGTTTCAAGTATCTGGGCAGCATCATAGATGAACGTGGAGGATCGAATGCAGACGTAGAGGAAAGAAATGGCAAAGAAAGGGAGGATACTAATTCACACCCATGGGCTTCTGTAAAGAACGGTCGACCAATTGACACTAAACAAAATGAGGTGTACTGTCATCACTAAAATTATCTTTAACCACTATCATACTGCTGAGCAGAGTTTGAATTTATTTCAAACAAAGTGTATATTTTCAGAAGGTCTTTTGTGGAGATTTCAGTAATTTTATAGTTGAAATCATTAGTCGATTGAAGCCAGACCACCATGGAAAACCTGGAAGCACTGGACGGCCGTTTCGTTGTGAGATTTCAACCCACTGAAGACAATGGTGAACGGTTGCTCAACTTCGTGGATTGATTGAAGTTAGATATTAACACCGTTGGATGACGGCCCAGTAGTCTAGAGGTTAAGCGCGAGGCTGGTAGGTCCTGGGTTCGAATCTCGCGAAGCGAGATCTTGGATGTACTCTGCTGAGGAGTCCCACAATAGGACGAAACGACCGTCCAGTGCTTCCAGGTTTTCTATGTTGGTCTAGCTTCAATTGATTCATGATTTCAACTATAAAATGATGATGTCTTTAGATGTGAGGTCATTATTCACTAATGTTCCAATCATGGAGACTGTAGAGTATATATGTGAACAACTTAGTTCAACCTCTTCTCTTATCTTAACCAACCTCATAGTCAATTAATCAATAGTAATCTTATTGATTTAATGATCTAATTTGACTAGTATGCTTGCAACCTATCTTAGTAAAACATAAATGTCTCTGTTATCATTATTCACATGTCTTTGTATCATTATTATTATTATTATTATTATTATTATTATTATTATCACTAGTTTAACATCACTATTGGTGTGACGTATACATGATTAACCTACTTAGCATTCACCCCACCTTGTTATTACTTATTAAATTAATATAACTTTATATACAATATAGTCTTCCACTGGACATTGGGTTGAAGTTGTAGTTGCACTACTATTTATCCCACCCTATCTGATCATGAATCTCATAATTTCATTTAACTCATATAAGCAGATTCAAATTACATTACATATTAGTCATATCAACATTAACAATTTTATTCTATGTAACAGTCTTGAATTCACATGATATGATTTTTAAACGATGTACTTTACCTTGTAGGACCAGTAAAATGTCACTGAACCCTAGCTAAATCATCCGGCAGTTGGGTCACTTAATATCGAACAGATCATCGATCCCCGTCAAGGTCAAGGAAAATCAACGCGCATCAGTTAATCATACGCCATGGGCTGGCCCATGCGGCAGTGGTTCTACTTTCGCCTGTATCTACCTTAACTAATATATTCCTGTAATAACGTCCTTTGTGTTGCACAGTCTTCAGAGCATCCATGGTCCCTTGATACGTCGTAGGGGCATCACTACCTCACTAGGGGGGATTGATCTGTTGCTGTAAATAATTCCCCAAAATCATTACCTTTGTAAGTGTTCGACATTGGATGCTGACCACATTAGTTTAAGTGAACTTGTTTAGCTGAAGTCGCTCGGTCAAGCATCCGTACCAGATCACGTTACAACACGGCGTGGGAAACATTTCCTACGATCATTATCCAAATTAGATCAATCGCTTCTCGATATATTGATAACGCATCAAATATATATTCCAACATTTTCGCTTCTGACTTCTAATTTTAACTGGGTGGGCACGATTCGATTATAGAAGTTGTTACTGGTAAAGAGTAGTCAAACTACTATACTGGTGGTATCTTCAACCTTAAACTTGGCTTTTTAGATTGGGATATATAATTGTAAAACCTGAAATGAATAATCTTCATTAAGAAGGAAAAAATTATTTATAAATTCTCAGCAATTATGTTAATTAAACGCTTTACTCGGTAATCTGATTCAAGTTTATTTTAAGAACTATGCACCCTTTTATATTCTATAGTTTCGATATGTTGATTATATTTCCCTGACGAGATTTTGAGAATAAATTTTTCCTACTTAATGTCTTGCATTAAGAAGTTTAAAAATCCCCCACAGAATATTTGAGAGAACAAATGTTTTCAATAACCTCATCATCAGGCTTTAAGGTTATAGGTCAATAATTGTTGAGATTTTTCATAAAGGTCTGAATAAGGCACGCATTTATGAATTTGACAATGTTATACTTTAAAAATGGTGGACGTCTGCATCTGTTACGGCATATACTTCAAAATAATGTCATTTGTACATGAGAAAGGTCACTTAAAAAAGGTCAGAATGGTTTGTAGTAAAGGGTCAAGTTAGAATCAATATAATAGTCATATAATTATGAAATGGAAGTCCTGTGTATGAAATGCATTTTAGGAGGAATTCGTCTTGTGAATCGAAGGAATAACGACTCTTCGTTCATAAATTAGTGTTTCAATTGTCAGCATCTTCCTACAGTAACTGAGTTAGAATGTGATCGCTTGACTTGTAACGTTAGATATTCCTAGTGAGAATATTATTTAGTAAGCAACGTTTTCACAAGTCAAACTAGCTGTATATAGATGAAGAAACTTAAAACCATTCCAAATTATAATCATTAACTCTGTTAAAAATGAGGAATTATTTATTGTTTAGAACAAATTAATTCAAGAGAATTAATAAACAATTTAATCCTACCTTCTATTTATTGGAATGGCATATTTGTCTGGTCTTAATTTGTTACACATATATGCAACTTATTGAGCGCAACACTAACCAATTAAAATATTCATTTACGCCTATACAAATGATGTAATTTATCATAATTATCCACCTTTCTTTTATCGCATATTTTGATACGCTACAAATATCTTCTCGTAGTCCTATTTATCCTATTCACATTTCCAAGTACAAACTAATGACATACTTAGGTTCATACATCTAGAAATTTCGGGTACGTGGTCTAATACCAACATTTTTATTAATACCAACTACGACATTATCAGGACTCCGAATATAAGACTACTAGTTTCAGGTGCCCACTGTTGCTGCTACCCTGACGTGGTGGTCGGGCTAGCCTGTCGTGATGAACAAACGAGCTATCCTGGTTGGAACAATCATTCTTCAAAGTCGTACCATGCCAGGCATATCGGTTGAGGGGCGGTAAGACTAAAAGCAGCGAACCCAAGGTTCGAAGGCGAACTACTGACTGTACAAACAACCAGCATAACAGCTTTGCTGCCTTCCCACATGGATGCATGGGGTTAGAAAAGGTAAACCCTAAAAATGTACACCCTGCCTTATCTCACGGGTATCCACCTCTGACGGTGGTCTCAACAAGTACGGAGCTAACACGAAAATTACCCACAAAAAGGTCTTGTGTGACCGACCTCAAGCACTTGTCCTTTGGACACTGCGTTCACACTATCAGGTCAGTAATACCACCTCCTTTTCAGATAATCCAGAAGAACCCTTCTACGTTGTGGGCAACTTGGAAGGGAAAACCGCCATCATGCCCCTAACAGCGCTCAAGATCACTGTATTCATACTCAATCTCCCTCTACAAATCCTATTATTCCTTCTACATTAACCTTCAACACTAAACTTCTACTTCTGATGTCCCAGGTCTACTGACACGTCGCTCCAAAATACACATTGAAGTCTTTAACGAACGTATGTCAAATCGGCTAGCAGGCTTCCTTGCCTAAAACCATTGATGTGTACTGTGTCTCCGTAATACGAGCACAGGTTACCAGTGTAGTCATCCTCTTGACCTCACCTCGCCAAGTCGTGGAGCCGGCGAAATACACCGTCCATGTATCTGGCGAACCGATGGCAGGTTCTCGTGGACTTGCAGTGTGACATTTCACAAGCACTATTAGAATGGATCCCTGTTAAGTCATCCATGTGCTATTTAGGTTAACGGCTCCGTAAGAACTCGTAAGGTTAGGAACACACGTTGTTGTCCTTTCGTCGTTTTTGCCGACGCTCCCGGTGACTGCAGCCGGGTTGAAGTGAAAGATGAATTTAACGTTAAGCTCTCTTAACTTCTTCACAATGTTAAACGCTCTAAAGTAGTACACGTAGCAGGTGACTTTAATACCCAGATAAATAGTTTAAACAAAGACGACCGTAGCTGCTACCTTGAAGTGGTGTTCGAGCTTGCGACGCCACCTACTCACAAGGAGGGAAGGGGTTAGAAAAGGTTAGCTATAAAATGTCGCGACCCCACCTTACCTAACGGGTTTCCGTCTTCGGCTGATTGTGCTAATCTATAAGTAAGGACAGAAGTCCTCTTGCGTCAGTCACAGAGGAATCAGTTTGACTAAGAATTTGTCTAAAATATTAGCTTCAGCTATAACTAGACGCCTAACAAAAGCTCGTGAGGAGCAGACAAGAGGAAACCAGGCTGGTTTCCGACCTGGACGTGGTTGTGTAGACCAGATAATCACTCTACGTCAGTTCCTAGAAAATAGATACACATTTAGACGTTTCACAATCGTAGTATTTCGCGACATGGAGGCATTTGACACTGTTGATAGTGAAGTGCTGTGGCAGTGTTTGACACCTAAATGAATAACAACCTTACTCGAACGCATGTGGTCCATTTAGAGCTTACAGCGAACTGTCATAAAAATTGATTATACCAGGTGGTGTATATCAGGCCATCCACTAGCTTCGAGATAACAATTTCCTAATCTCAATTATCAGTAGCTGATCCCAGAAATCCACTCTATCATGCTGTTGACCATTACAAGCTACAAGGGAGGCATGTCCTATATATTACTTCAGGATCGGGTTGCATTGACACAGGAACTAATGATAAAGTGAGAACTCCTAAACAATAACCATAACTAAATTAGGTTGCTTCAAGTATGTTTTAGAATACTGACAAATCCATCAGCGTCCCGGAGGTCTGACCGATCCCAACAGGTCGATGTCTGATAAAATATCAGCGTTTTCGCTACACTTTACGCACGGCGAAGACAAGATATTCATCTGTCAATTGTTGCGCAGCAGTCTCCTCTGCTCCACAATACGGCTGTGTAACGTGGCCATTAATAGAAGGGAACGCCCGAATTTTTTGAGACCACCGATTAAGTAATTAGTGGGTTGGGCACAGGGTTGTCAGTCTGTGCGATACGTATGCCTGGACACCGATTTCTACGGACTGCAATGATGGGATGTCATTGAGGGCGACCAAGATGTGGTAGTCACCACTAATGTGGCAGACGCGGTCTTGTTCCGGGCTCGCATGAATATCGTAACCTATTGCATCGATCACAAACGCATGGACTTGCCGAAGCTTTGTATTTCACTCTACTTATGCATACTTTTTCCTAATTATTACCTACCCACTTAATGACTTCGGTGTTCATTCTGTTGCGCTGCTAAGGTATTCCAACCTGCACCGATGAATAATTCTCCCTACGTAGTGGCTAAGGTGCCAGTAGAAATGTCCAACTAACAAATCAATCAAGGGATTTTACGCTAGTACGCATAAATCGTTACAATAAATCCGACGCAGGCTACATCGCTACTTCAACTGTCTACAAGTCCAAATATATATTATCTCCTCGATCAGAAAGTCATCTAACATGTTCATATTAACTGACATGAGGAAAGCTTGCACACTACTACTAGTTTGTAAAGGTCCGATCATAATAGTAATAATACAACGCCACTACAATTAACATACCAAAAAATTATCAAGATAGGCAAATCACATGGTTGTGGCCCTAAAGAGGGCCGGTTTCACGTTCTCTAACTCCTCACGCTCTAGATGCGAGAAATTAAGGTTTGACTTTGTCGGTCTTCTTGGGTAGGAGGACTGCTTGAATGTTTGGAAGCACACCTCCTTGCGCGATTGTGACTCCACCAAGAAGCTTGTTCAATTCCTCATCGTTACGGATGGCTAACTGCAAATGTCTCGGGATGATACGAGTCTTCTTGTTGTCTCGAGCGGCATTACCAGCTAACTCCAAAACTTCTGCAGCAAGGTATTCGAGAACTGCAGCCAGATAAACTGGAGCACCAGCACCAACACGTTCAGCGTAATTGCCCTTACGTAGAAGGCGATGTACACGACCAACTGGGAACTGAAGACCGGCGCGTGCTGACCTTGTCTTTGCCTTGCTTCGAACCTTACCACCTTTACCACGACCACTCATTATTTAGGAAGCAGAGAAACGTGTACAAAGCAGGCGGCTGCACGATCGTATTTATATGATTTTTCGACATCATTCAATGTTATGAATTAATTGGTTTATTATGTCTCTCCTTATTGGACCACTCAATCTACCTATAACAATGTAAATTTTATCAACTCTACTCTTACTTATAGTTCAAGGCTGTGTAGTGACAGAAAATGAATGAGGTCAAAATGACTAACGACCTAACAAATTTTCTGCACCTAAATAACGACTTGTCTGATTGGTCAGTTAAACAAAGACTATGAAATGCCTGGTTGAATCTAAATCAGTCCATAGGCTACTATAATGACCAATTAAGAAACGAGCTTACAAATTGTCATTGCTTTGTATCAACGGTATAAACAAAGAACATTGTTTCGATAAGTTTTAATTTCGAATCAATGGTCAAAGGGGATGGCTAAATTATGGAGAAATACATATTTTGAAATTATATCATATGGATTTGAGATCGTTTGTAGAATATAATATAATTTTTTATGTTAAAAATCGGACCACTAAAAAGGGATTAAAATATCGTCAGTAGAACTTTCTTTTTAACCATAAAATTTTTCATGTAGGTGAATCCTTTTTAGAAAAAGAAACAGGGAAGTCATCTACCCAAAGATCGAGGAACTTGGTGTCGTTTACTTGAAATTATGACTAGGTTTGGTCAGTTGTGTCAAATAAATAAAGAATACGAAAGTAGCTCATCGAAGACGTGATAATCATACTGAAAATGTGGGACTTTGTAGTGTGAGCCATGGGACCGTGGTGTATTAATTTGCGTATGGTTCAGTACGAAACTATAAGGAAGTAGTTGTATAGTTGCTCTTTATTCTCAATAGTTTTGTCTAATACCATTAAATGATGGGGATTTCCTTTCATGAAAAAAACTCAAGTACTTGAGTCGTAATCCAAGGGACATTACTCTTAATTGTAGTTGGTTCGAGATCTAGCAAAGTCATCATCAAATGAGTGACTGTATGTACAGTTCTTAACACTTAAGATTACACAATTGTTAGATAAAGCGTTCCATCCTAGTTTGCGTTACTTCTGTAGCCGATACCAGTTTCTGATAATGCTTACTAAGATATCAAGTCTAAGTGATTAAGGCAACCGATTTATCTCAGCAATCGCTTCAGTGTCAACCCGGTTGAGATAAGTGAGTGACGAACACCTGAAACTCTAGTGAGAAACTGTGACTAGTAGAGTTCAACCATGTCGAGGATGAATGAGGATTAGGTAATGTCAAGGTATTGAAGTCAGATACAAACAACGTTGGATGGCGGCTCAGTGGTCCAAAGGTTAAGAGTCCTTACAATAGACCGGAAGTCATAGATTTGATTCCCGCATGTGAGGTCCTGGATAGGCATTAATGAGTTGTAGTCCCCTACTAGGACGAAATAAATCCACTCAGTGCTACCTGGATTCTAACTGTGGTCTTGATAAGATCAGTTCGTGAATAACATTATTGAAATACCAAAACATTGAAAAATAAATTGGAGCGACTATAAACTGATTAGTTTGTAGTTCAACTTAATTCTGGGAAATATTTGAATTGATTGAGCAATTAAGTATCTAGCTAAGTGATCACTCGTTTTTAGCTCACATGGGTTGTGTAATAATATCCCATGTACTGTTGTTGACGTTGATGATGAAACATACAGTACCTGTCGTTCTAAATCCCATGTTATTTATTAGTCATGATAAATGAAGTATATATATATATATATATATATATATATATATATATATATATATATATCCAGCTGATGAGACCCGGAAAAAACGAAACGGGAGTCCTGGATTCCATCGCTAATAACTGTTAAATTTTGTTCGGAATACTGAGTTTCCATAGATAGTTTACTTTCATAAGAGATTCAATGATTAATGAAAACATCTTAAAATTTGGGAATCATTGAAAAGCAGGAGTCACCGGATAACAGTTCTACATTATTTCACATTCCTTGCTAGTTTGCATTCATAACATTACACTGGATTGAAACAGATACATTGAGATATTGCGGTAATCACAAGACCACTTAACCACTGAGCCGGATTTTATTGATCACATTTCCCAAAATAAGTAACCCACTGTATAATACAAAAAATAAGGGCCATTGATTTCAGATTTGATAATCAAATAATATCGTTGTCTTTAACAGTTGTAAATGTACTGAGCGCTGGTTGGTGGGAATTCCGGTTTGCTCACTACTGAAAAATGGTTTTTTGCTGAAAAAAAATCCCCAATATTTTCGGGCGATTTTTTAATGATTTTTCAAAGAATAACATTCTATGATAACAACAATAGCTAGATTAAGTAGATTTCGCTAGTCCACTTAATCAGATTATTGTGTTAACTATTTTCACTTGAGCTTATTAACGATTCATTAATAAGAAAACAAACATACTAGGTAGTAACTACAATGTTATGTCAAATTCTTTTAAAACATTGTCAAGCTGAACTATGTTAAGACATTATTTATCGAACTCATGAACCAAATAATGTTAGACCACCATTGGAGACCGGGAAACACTGAACGGCCGTTTCACCCTGGCACAAAACTCCTCAGCAGTGTGCATCCTCGATCCCACCCACGGGACTCGAATTCCAGATTTCCGGTATTGCGCGAGAACGCCTAACCTCTAGACCATCGAGCCGTCATCCAACGGTGTTAATGTCTAACCTTAACTAATCCACGATATAGCCTGATCGTCTTCCATTGTCTTCGGTGGGTAACTGCTCTACAACTGACAGAGTCGAACTCCACTAATCACGGCTTCTCACTAGAACTCTAAGGATTCCCTTTCAAAGCTAGTCACTAGTGAGTACATTACAATTTTCAGCATGAGGTTGCGGCGATTGTTGAATTTCATTGGTGTAATGAAAATGCTCGGTTCGAATCCAGCGTGCAGGATTATGGACGCGCACTGCTGAGGAGTCCCATAATAGGACGAAACGACCATTCAGTGCCTCCAGACTCCCAATCGTGATTTAACATTGATCAGCTCATGATTTCAATGAAATTCAATGAACTTCACAACCCCAAACTGAAAGTCATTATTTGTATTAGATTAGGTAAAATTTGCTTAGTGTATTTTCCAGTTAAAGTGAATCGAAATAGTGTAATAAAAAACTCATGATAAATGGTTGTCTAGAGCTAAACACTTATTACTTATCTCACAATCTCCACTGTCATGTTATCTTATACCCAACATTTAATGTTGATATGACGGGATAAAAGGCAACATTCTACTTTTTCAACCATTGTGATGTTTGTTCAATCTTACTTCCGCTTTAATTTAATGTGATAATTACTCCGTGTAATATTTGTTTTTCAGTGTGATGTTCTATTCGGTATAACACTGATTTATTTGAGTGTGGTGTTTTACAAGATACGATATTATTGTATTAGATTAATATAAACTAAGCTCAGTATGACATGCAGCATGTGATTTGGTTAAAACTCTGGTTATTTTTCATATATGTGATTTCATCCTAATTAATAAACGAAATGGGTGTACAACCAATAAATGAATAATGAGTGTATTTACGACTAAGGTTGTCGTTGTATTTTGAATTTAATAAATCTTCACGCGTACTAGTCTTGTTGTTCTTACTACATGTCGTGGGAATTGAAGTGGTTCTTCGTTTTACAAATATAAGTGATAAGCGATTCCGACAATAGCAATCAGCGATGACCAGATATAACAATTGACAACGAGATGTAACAAAAGTTAAATGGTAAATTATTTCATCCAACTACACATTGTATTAGATAAAATAGGATAGTGAACTATAAGTTCTGCTTAACGTTGATTCCGTTTATTACTGAGTTTATAAATAATGTTATATATTTTATTCCGAATTGAAAACAGTCTCAAAACCATAAGTTTTTAATGATTCGTAGTAGTTAGTAATAGTAGTAGTAGTACCGTTATCATGATTATTGTAATTTTATGGGCTATTAATTTTCTGATTTTTCACCAAATAACGGAAATTATTCCAGTTTCGACATCATAATTGTTACTTATTGAAATACCACATTTTCAAACACAAATAATAACTCTACTTCGCGTATTTATTATTGTAAAATGTGCTTCGACTACTAACTAAAGGAAAGAGTATGTGTTGAAAAAAATACCTTCATTCCATTATTTGTTTTGTCATAGAGTCAATTTCTCTTGAATTTGTCTTGAATTCACATTTATCAGATTTACTTACTAATAAGTAGTAAAGAATGTATTTAGAAAATCAAGTCGTGGGTGTTACTATTTCAATCAATGAAAATCTTGGTGACCAGTTTATGTTGAATGTGTTTTTAGTCTTGATAAACAGCTATATATTCTACATGGGTTTCAGTATCGTAGTACATTTTGTCTGTTAAACAAAATAACTTGACACTCATACAAATAGTTCTTTTTATGAATTTGAATAAAGCCAAAAACAACTAGTAAGGGTGAATAATATGAATTCATTATATTCTATGGTTTCACTTCAGCTACCTACAACTCAGTTCACTCTGCATGCATATATGGAAACTTTTAAGACCAGCTTGGGGTTGAAAGTCGGAAAAATACTGGTGATGAAGCTAAAAGAGAATACGACAGATTTGAAGAGTCCTGATAAGTTTTGAGAATCGGACAAGTGGAAATCACAAATGAATCGTCCTTAACAAGTTCATTAGTTTTAACATATTTATCGATGAATTTCTGTGGTTGTGTTTTATCATTGACACTTTTTAATAATTAAGCTAAGCCTAAAACATTTATATATCTTAGAATGATAATTCATTTCATGACAAAAGTCTAACATTATTCCATGCCCGAATGAAAAGAAATTGCTTGTTTACCTAATCTGAAAAAAACCAAGTTTGCCAAGGAGTTTAAATAGTTAGGGTTCAGTATTGCATCCCACCTGTCAACTAGAATGACCATGTTATTGCAAGCAAGCCATTTTTATACTACCTATTCAGGCTGATTTATAAATCGTTATCAAACAGGTAAGACTATAAAGAAAAAATATTCCTTCGTTCAAATATTTCCATTTCTTCCTGTTTTAATGTTCTGGAAATATGACTTTGAGGGCATTACTAGTCAACACTCTTATTTACTTTAATACTATTTTGTAGTATAAATGGGATGATAGAAATTCTTAGCTCAGAAGAAATGCCTTTG